AAGGGATAAAGAGAAGGATATTCAAAAGCTTGATTGCCAATCAGTCCCATAATCTGATTGAGGGGCGGACCCCCTTCCAGAAATGTGTGCAATTTGATCCTACATAGGGATCGAACCCCCGACCTGAGGGACTTACATCAAATACCGCAACCAATAAGCCGGGCTAAGACGTGCAACACCAAGCGCTCACGCACACACACATAGATATATTTATATATATATATATATTGCTGTAAGCCTTGCCCTATTGGCGGTGGAGTCATTTTAAGTCCCCTTAGGTCAACTGTTCGATCTCATCGTGGCACGAAGACTCTGAAATTTTAGTCACATGGCACGTGCTCTAATTATGGGGCCAAAAAAATGCATAAAAATCAATATTTAGGCTTTTGTTAAATATGAATTTCCTTTATTTCTTTTTATTATATATATATGTGTGTGTGTGTGTGTGTGTGTGTGTGTGTGTGTGTGTGTGTGTGTGTGTGTGTTTGCGCCGACAAGAGCAAGGGAAGGAGGAGGTGGTGAGCGCTGAGTTTGGTTGCTCTAAGCGAATTGGCACGGCCATGGTGCCCCTCAAGAAGGCGAAGAAGTCTACCGAGAGCATTAACAATAGGCTGGCCCTGGTAGTGAAGTTGGTAATAATTTCTAACAACTACCCTCCCCTCCGCAAGTCTGAGATTGAGTACCATGCAATGCTTGGAAAGGTTGGGGTTCATCATTTTAATGGAAATAATGTCGATCTTGGTACTGCTTGCGGTAAATATTTCCGTGTATGCTGTCTCAGCATTGTCGATCCAGGCGACTCTGATATAATAAAGTCACTCCCTAGAGCTCGTTGAGATATTTCTGGTGTGGAGGTTCGGATGTCTTGGTTTGAATCATAGGATTATTTGTTAGGATGGCTGAGCTTGGGATGATTTTGTTGTTGTTTTCCATTTAGATTTGGAACTATATTTTTGCTATGGAATTCTGTTGTTATTGAATTTTAGATTTTAATTATTTATCTTGATATTGGCGAATCCTTATTTGTCTGTGAATCACACTCAAGAAATAAAATGTAAGAGATGCGTGTGTGTGTGTGAGAGAGAGAAAGAGAGAGAGAGAGAGAGAGAGAGAGAGAGAGAGAGAGAGGCAGAGAGACGAATGAACAGTATTGTGTCGTTATCAATCAAGTCTTATTCATAAAATAGTCCCTTTATTTAATGGGGGAGGGTAGTTTTTGCTCCTACTTTAAAGGGGGTCATACTGTGTATTTCTAGCATTTTACATGTATGAGTTTATCATCTGGCCGCTCTCTGGTTGACCGACTAAGCTTAATTGTGTTCACAAGCTCAACTCGGTCGAATGGGATCCAGTTGGTCAGTTGAGCTTGGTCGGTTGAGCTTGGTCGATATGAGTCAGCCGATTGAGGTAGTCTGACTGTAGATCCTTGACCTCTAATGAAGAATCTTTAGTTGTTCATGGGATGGTTAGAGATGGTAGTGAACCAGATCTTTCTTGGATTGGCTCTCATGTGACAGTTGGCTTAAATATCATTTTGCCCCATTTCTGGCCGAATGACTCATTCTTGTATCCTCCGGTTATCTTTAGTCTATTTCTTGGTTCAAACGGATTTGGCCTTGCTGGTATTAGCTTGGATAGCTTTGCTTGATTAGATCAACAGGGCTTCTGTTGATGGGCCCTCCTTCATAGTACTCTTTCCTTCTGTACATTGGATATCCTTAGGATAAGTGATGGCAAATTTTTATGTACATAATTTAGTTCTTCGATTCATTAACGTTTTGAAAGCAACATTGCGATAAGAATAAAAATATGTAATGCAAAAAGTAGAGCACATTTATTATTAATCAATGATTCAATAATTGAACTTGCATGATTAGCATGTTTCTTAGAAAAATCCAAGAATATTTTGGAAGGTTTGCTATGACCAGAGAACCCTTTGGAAAATGCACTTAATTTCCACCAACCCTAAAACATAAAGAAAATTAATTTTGGGAAACAAAAACATCTGAATGACTTTATTTTTAATCTCCACTGCGATTTAAAATTTAGAGAACTCCCCATAAAAATTTCAAAACATTTGGAGCTCACTTGATAACTCAAATTGATTTTCTATGTTGAATGTCATTTTCAACACTAAAATAATTTTTAAAAATTTAAATATAACTCAGAGAATTAAAAGAATTGGTTTTAGAGTTCTCTATGATTAGATGAATTTTCTAAAAATAATCAATTTGTTTTAGAGTTCTCTATAACTCAGATCATGCCATTTTATTTTTAGAAAATTCATCTAATCATAGAGAACTCTAAAACCAATTCTTTTAATTCTCTGAGTTATATTTAAATTTTTAAAAATTATTTTAGTGTTAAAAATGACATTCAACATAGAAAATCAATTTGAGTTATCAAATGAGCTCCAAATGTTTTGAAATTTTTATGGGGAGTTCTCTAAATTTTAAATCGCAGTGGAGATTAAAAATAAAGTCATTCAGATGTTTTTGTTTCCCAAAATTAAATTTCGTTATGTTTTAGGGTTGGTGGAAATTAAGTGCATTTTCCAAAGGGTTCTCTGGTCATAGCAAACCTTCCAAAATATTCTTCGATTTTTCTAAGAAACATGCTAATTATTATAATTAATTTATTCAATCTTTGATTCTAATAAATAAGGAATGACAGGACTGCACTCATTCGTTATTTGCTCTAAGGCCCCTCTCATTTGAATCAGTCAGCTTTCAAGTGTTTTAATGGAGAACATATCAATTCTCTTAGACGACGTCACCAAAAAATATAATTTTTGTTGCCTTTGAGAAACTGAAGGAGTGGTAGAACAAGGAGAATGAAAGAAGAAGAAAATCGTTGTCATGAAGAGCAAAGTGGTTGTTTTGCCAAGTTACGCAGGCTCGTCTGATTCATTTCTTAACACTAAGTAGAGGACTGTTTAGTTGACTAGCCTAACCTTTTATCGTTTCCCAAGAACTAAGAATCAAATGAGTCACATAAGAAATTATTTATGCTTTGTAAGTACATAATGATCGTGTCATATCAATTACAACGTCTGAGTTGAATCTACTTCTCAGTTTGAGAAGCCTTACTTAATGGTTGGATTTGAAATTTTTATGAAGTTTTCTTCCTTACGGTCATTTCTTAGTGCATATGACTCAATTTTGAGAGATCAAAGATAGGATCCAACCCTAGCTAGTATCAGTGAGAATCTGTCAGAGGTGCTAGCTGTATTGAAACATGCACAAGAATGTCGACCGCTAAAGGTTGTTTGCTTCAATTTAATTTAGTATACACATAAATTTGATTTTTAGAAAAATAATATTTTAATTTTGAAAAGTAATATTTTTAAATTTTGAACAAACAAGATCAAATTGATCTCCAATAAATAAATAGTTTAAATAAATGAGCACAACACTACAAGTGACGTATTTATCCTGAGGAATAGACATATCATCTATCTGTGAGGCCCGATTAAAAAAAATTATAAATTTTATGACATCCATTTGGTCTACAAATCATTTTATATAAGCCAACAAATTCCCCTACCTAATATGAAAGATTAGGTAGAGTTTATATTACCAGGGCTCTATAAGCTCCCTATAAAGGCAATTCCCTTAAGTCAATTACTTCTCAAATGACCAAGGTCACCTAAGAAAGCACTTGATTTAGATCATAAAATATTATCTTTAAGAATTCCAAATGATAGAACTTTTTAAAGATCGAACCAAGAAGTATCAAATG